TGTCCAGGTTAGGAGTACCTTCAGATAGAGCCTTGGAGAAGTTTCTTTTTGGGGACTGGAGCCAGGGTTGAAACTCCCTTGAGGAGTGCCTAGGAGCTCCCATGTGCTTTTCCAAGCAGCTCAACACAGGACCCAAGAGCATAGGTGGGTTCCTTGTAAACTCCCCTGGTTCACGGAACCCTGGCCCAGCTTCCACCCTCTAGTGGGCATCTTCTCATCCCAGGGCACAGCCCAGAGCCCCCTACCTCAGGATAGTTGCAGGTGGCTCAGTCATCAAGACACTTTCACCCTCACAACCATCCCCTGAAGGTATCCAAGTGTCCCTCTTTTCCTCAGTCTGGTGCTGGGTATAAGGGATGCAGGAGACCAAGATATGGATGAGGTTTGAACAGGAAGAAAGGAGCAGAAGGGCACTGTCTCGGTTCTCATGGTGAGTCTTAGAAACATCAGGAAACCTAGTTGTCTGCTCACTCACAGTATGTCTCCAGATGTCTGTCTCAGCAAGAGGAGTGGAGCCATTGTCCTGGAACATCCACATATGTCTTGAACATTCATCTAACAGGATGAATGAAGGAAAGAAAGAATAGTAAAGCAAAGAAAAGAGTTTCTAGTCCTTAGTCATAGCCATGCTGTGTAAAGTTCCTAACCTGTGCCCAGAAGGTGGATAACCACTGTCTGAGCTAGGGTTTCTATGGCTGTGAAGAGACACCATGACCACAGCAACTCTTATAAAGGAAAACATTTAACTGGGGCTGGTTTACAGTTTCAGAGGTTCAGTCCATTATCATCATGGTGAGAAGCATAGCAGCATGCAGGCAGACATGGTGCTGGAGAAGGAGTTAAGAGTCCTACATCTTGATCTACAGGCAACAGGAAGTGAACTGTCTCATCGGGTGTAGCTTGAGCATAGGAGACCTCAAAGCCTACCTCTACCGTAACATACTTCCTCCAACAAGGCCACACCTCCTAATAGTACCACTCCCTTTGGGGGCCATTTTCTTTCAAACTTCCACAACCACCCCACCAACCTTGAACAAAGGTAAGGGCTGGGCTCTGAGGAGGGCAGGGCATTTCACCTCAAAAGAAGCATACCCCACTGTGGTTTGTGTGGTTTTCCTCTCCATTGTCTTCACCTTGGATGGAGGTAGAGGTATTGTGTGACAGGAGTGGAGGAGATCGTGTGGCACCTGGCAGGCAGGGCCTGTCTAGAGCACCAGTAAGTGGTAGAGAACCCACCATGCAGGACCAGTGAGGAGGGCAGCAACTGGGTGTCAGGGACAAGGACAGAATCTCTAGTTAGTGGAAAAATACAGACCCCCAATAAGACAGGGAACTAGATCATCTTACAGTCAGGGTGCCTAGCAACAGGACATTGAGTCAGAGCCCTTGACGCTTTCACCCTGTAAACATCCTGCACAAACATCCTGTTAGCTTGCCCCACCTTATGCAGATGACAGTTTCTTGCTCCTCCCACCCTGCAGGAACTATATAAACCTTCCTGGAGAAAAATAAAGTTGCACCTTGATCAGAATCTAGACTTGGTGTATTTCCTTTGTATCTCCTGTCTCTACATTCTGTCCTTAGGGTGGTCGAGAACCCGTTGAAGCCCTGCAGGCGGGGCAACTGGGGAACTGAAAACTGGCCTCATGATCTCAAGTGCCAGGACTGACATTCTGTGGAGAGTCTTCATGCATGATTCAGCCTCCGTGTCCTGAGGAGGAGAGCTGCCCAGCTAGCCTGAGGGCCTATCTAGAAGCATCAACTGGTCAGAATCTCCTCTATGTCCTGGCTTCTCCACTTTTTTTTTTTTTTTAAACCCAGGGGATTGACTCAACAAAGAGAACTCAACCAGTCTGTGTGGATGAGCCAGCCCTGACTACACATGTGGGAGTTACAGATGGAGCCCACTCCAAAAAGGCAGAAGACCCTCATGGAGGGTCCATCCCTTCTTACTCTCATTTGGCTCCCACGTTTACCTCTCCCATCATCCATTACCCAAGACAAAAGGACCCTCTGCTCCCTGACCCTAGGCCAGCTTCCCACCACAATGAGAATAAGCCTGTTTACAAAAACTTTCCATCCTAGCCAGGGTGGCCCCAGCTCTGAGCCAGACACCTCAGATTCATTCCGCAAAGCCCAGCTTCATCAGTCTTCCTAATACTTGTGGGTACGGTCCCACCCCAACCTGGCCTTCTGCCCTTGGCTGTTCTCATTCCTGAGGACATGTCGACATATCTTCTGGGTCAGAGAAGCTGAGATGAGGCCCTTCCTCATCCCACCAGAACTAGTTAAGGGCTCAGCTGAGAGCAGGTCAGTGCTAGGCAGGGGGACATGTCCCCAGGACAGATGCTTCTCAGCCATGGTCCAGTCAAGACTGTGAGATCAAGGGCAAGCCAGCACTGGCCAGTACCCTAACCCTACACTACCAAGTAGAAAAGCCCATGGCTTGTGCTTTTCTCTGGCTAAGCCAGCCCTAGGAGAATACAGAGCACCTGCTGAACCCTGGCTGGCTCACAATGCCCCACCCCTGGGGAGTGGTGTGGCCCAAGGGGAAGGCAAGGGAATGTCTCACAGGTTCCATCTCTCTCTCTCTCTCTCTCTCTCTCTCTCTCTCTCTCTCTCTCTCTCTCTCATTTTTTTCTTTCGGCTTCTATGATTTCACGAACCCTAGCACCAAGAGAAAACATCTGGAAATGTTGCTGGGGGGTTGTGAAATCATGGAAGCAGAAAGAAAAAAATAAAAGAAGCAAAGAGGCCAGATGCCAGACACAGCAGGAGCATCTTTGTCTGGATGAGTTGGACTCATCTCTAGAAACAGAGTTCCAGTCACAAACCTGAGTGGTTTCCAGCAGGAAGGGCAGAGCAAGACAGCCGGAGGAATGAAGAGAGATGGCTGGCCAGAGGCGGAGGATCCTGGCGCCCAGCTCTTAAAAATGGTCAAGAATTCCTGCCTCTCTGAAAGCCAGGCCTCGGGTAGTTCAGCTTGGTGGATGCCAACTCACACCAAAACCAAACTCAGAGCCGCCAGCAAGGATTAGAAACAGCTCGGCTGATCTTACTCAACTCCGAGCGCTGGGTGAGTCAAACTTTTTCTGAGCTCACTGTTTGTACAACAGAGTCCACACTGATGGATTCTTGGCTGTGTGTCTTTCGCTGCTCAGATTCAAGAGGGGATGTCCTAGTGTGCTCCCGAAAACCTGTAGCCAAATCCCAGACCTCCTGGAGCCAACAGGGAATAGAGCAAGCCATTACTCAATATACCGACGGGGGTGAGCTTTGGGGGTGTTGGTCACGCCGAACTGTGTCTGCGGAACCTATTTGCCAACACACAGTAGTTAGGCAAAATCAACAGGCCACAAATGTCAGAGTAGAAAGTGCCAAGTTGTTGAAAAACCTCCTACTATCCCTAAGTGCCAAGAGAAGGTGACTCCAAGACTCCTCCAACCCCAGCCTCCTCTGGCTTGAAAGACTCACTTTTTGGGTAATCCCCTGTGACATCATGGGAACAGAGGTGGTTTCATTTAAGACCAGCGTAAGTCCAGAGAGCTGCCCAGTACAGAAATCTCCCAAGACAGCTGTCGCCATTAAATCTCAGCAGAAGCTTCGAGCTTTTTCGTTTTCTGTCTGGGTAAGTCTATAGCCATCTGTTCTCCTCTTAGGACTGTTAAATGCAAACGGAGATCATGCCTCTTACCAAAAGACAACAGACAGAAAGTGTTTGTCTACATATGAACTCGCAGAACGGACAGGCTACAACCTTTCATTTTGAACAGAATTTGTATCCTATGTCCGGTCTGTTTCGGTCTGTTTCTGGTTTGGAGGAATGGCTTTTTGTTGTTTTGAGGCAGTCTCCCAGTGTAGCCCAATACTGCTTCAGGTTCTCCAACTCTGGGTTTGCAGGCATGAGCCATAACACTCAGCTTATGGTTTGGGCTTTAATGTGTGTGTGTGTGTGTGTGTGTGTGTGTGTGTGTGTGTGTGTGTGTGTGTGTGTGTGTTGAGACAGGTCCTTCTATGTACCTGTGGCTGTCTGTCCTGGAACTCACTATGTAGACCAGGCTGGCCTTGAACTTGCAGAGATCCACCTGTCTCTGCCTGTGGAGTGCTCAGATTAAAGGCATTCGCCACCATGCCTGGCCTTGTCCCCTCTTGGAAACTTTCCCCCCTTCATTTTGATTTTCTGTGTATGGGTGTTTTGCCTGCATGTATGTACGGACAGTGTGTTCATGCAGTGCCTGTGGAGAACAGAAAAGGATGTGGAATCCTCTGGGACTGGAGTTACAGATGGTTGTGAGCAGCCATGGGATTGCTGGGACTCGAACACCGATCCTCTGGAAGAGCAGTCAGTGCTTGTCTTAGGGTTTCTACTGCTGTGACAAAACACCGTGGCCAAAAGGCCAGCTGGGGAGGAAAGGGTTTGTTTGGCTTACACTTCCACATCATAGTCCATCACTGAAGGAAGTCAGAACAGGAACTCAAACAGGGCAGGAAACTGAGGCAGGAGGTGATGCAGAGGCCATGGAGGGGTGCTGCTTAATGGCTTGCTCCTCACAGCTTGCTCAGCCTGCTTTCTTATAGAACCCAGGACCACCAGTCCAGGGATGGCACGATCCACCATGGCCTGGGCCCTCCCCCAACGATCACTAATGGAGAAAATGCCTTACAGCTGGATCTCATGGAAGCATTTCCTTAACTGAGGACACACAAACCCAGCCAGTACAGTGCTTTTAACCAATGAGCCTTTCCTCCAGGCCCCACTAGTTCCCTCTTTTAAACTAGGTTAGTCCTCTCCTCCTCTAAAGGAACAGGTAGTAAATACTGTCAACTTTGCAGGCCAGACACCCACTCTGCTCTACTACCGTAGTACAAAAGTAGTCAAAGGTGCTATTACATAAGCAGTGAGTACGGATGTGTGCCAATAAAACTTTATTGTCTGGAACAGACCACAGGCTGGGTTTGACCTCCTGTATTCTTACTCTGTCCACTTCAGGTCACTGTGCATGGCGTCCCAGGCCTTGTTGGAGCTGCCGCCCCCTAACCAAAGCCAGCAGACCCCACCCAACATCACCTCCTGCCAGGGTGCTCCAGAAGCCTGGGGCCTCCTGTATAGGGTGCTACCAGGGTTTGTCATCACCATCTGTTTCTTTGGCCTCCTGGGGAACCTTTTAGTCCTGTCCTTCTTTCTCCTGCCTCGGCGGCGGCGGCGGCAGAGGCAGCACCGCTTAACCATAGCAGAAATCTACCTGGCTAACCTGGCAGCTTCTGACCTGGTGTTCGTCCTGGGCCTGCCCTTCTGGGCAGAGAACATTGAGAACCGTTTCAACTGGCCCTTTGGCACTGACCTCTGCCGGGTGGTCAGCGGGGTCATCAAGGCCAATCTGTTCATCAGCATCTTCCTGGTGGTGGCCATCAGTCAGGACCGCTACAGGTTGCTGGTATACCCCATGACCAGCCGGGGATACCGGCGGCGGCGGCAAGCCAGAGCCACCTGTCTGCTCATCTGGGTGGCAGGGGGCCTCCTGAGCATCCCCACATTCCTTCTGCGGTCTGTCAAAGTCGTCCCCGACCTGAACATCTCTGCCTGCATCCTGCTTTTCCCCCACGAGGCTTGGCATTTTGCAAGGATGGTGGAGTTGAACATTTTGGGTTTCTTCCTGCCATTGGCTGCCATTATCTTCTTCAACTATCACATCCTGGCATCCCTGAGAGGGCAGAAGGAGGCCAGCAGGACCAGGTGTGGGGGTCCCAAGGGCAGCAAGACGACAGGGCTGATCCTCACACTGGTGGCCTCCTTCCTGGTCTGCTGGGCCCCCTACCACTTCTTTGCCTTCCTGGATTTCCTGGTCCAGGTGAAAGCAATCCAGAACTGTGCCTGGAAGGAATTCACGGACCTGGGCCTGCAGCTGGCCAACTTCTTCGCTTTCATCAACAGCTGCCTGAACCCACTGATTTATGTCTTTGTGGGCCGGCTTTTAAAGAGCAGGGTCTGGGAACATTATAAATGACGCACTCCCAGAAGCCTCATGCCCGTATCCCGCAACGGGAAAGAACTCTTCCAACGGTTCTGACAGAATTGAAACAGCAGCAAGACAAGAAGCCTGGCTTCTTGACCAACTGTCTGATACTGTAAAGACCATCTGGTTGGCTGACCCACGGCCCACAAGGATGCCTGGGAAAATGCTGCTAGTAGGGTAGCAGGGACCTTGCAGATGTAACTAAGCTAAGGATCTGGAGATTAAGCTGATCCTGCAGTATTTGGGGCAGGGGGAGCAAAATGATCGCAGGGGTCCTTTGAAGCAGGGACTTAGGAGGGCTGGAACCTGTGAAGACTGAAGCAGAGGTCAGAGTGATGAGGAAGGGGCCACAAGCAGAGGCCTGCAGGCCCCCTTGGAGGCTGGAGAAGAAAGAACACAGACAGACGTCCTCTCTGCAACTCTAGAAAGAACCAGCCCAGCCAACATGCTGACTTTAGCCCTGTCCCCTACGACTGTGAAAGAAGAAAACTGTGAGAGAACAAAGTTGTGGGGGTTGGGGATTTAGCTCAGTGGTAGAGCACTTGCCTAGCAAGCGCAAGGCCCTGGGTTCGGTCCTCAGCTCTGAGAAAAAAAAAAAAGAGAGAGAGAGAATAAAGTTGTGTTCTCATTTGCACTCACCAAGTGTGTGATTACTGCTACAGCAACAACAGACAGTCTACACAAACACCCAGCAAGGTGTAAAGATCAACATCCTTGCACTTCATTCACCCAGACCTTCCTAGGCTGACTGAGGAATACAGAGGTGGGGTAGCTGCAGACCCTGTCCACAAGGAGCGTGCCTAGGTCTAAATAACCCTGTCAGAATGGGAAGCTGCACTGGCTACAGACCCAGCAGCTCCCAGGGAAGGGTCGGTTCCTCCCCTCAGGTCCGTGCACAGCGGACTCTGGGGCCTGTGGAGACAGACAGGAAGGGCTGGGTGTTCACTCCTACAGTGGGAAGGCACAGGCTGCTGCCCAGAGTTCACATGAGTATTGCTGAATGCTGGAGCCTCCATCTAATCTCTTCTTGGCTTCAAGGATCCTGCAGGGACTCTCCCAGAACCTCTGCCTCCAGAGAACTCTGCATGATACACAAGAGAGTGTCACAGGACAGAAGAACCCACTCACCCAGGTGACAGGGTAGGTTGAGAGCACAGGGCAGTGGGGGCTAGCTGGGACAGGTAGAAAGGAGTATTCTAGGAGATATAGCATGGCTTTTAAAAAGCTAGCAGTTGGCCAAGCAAAATAGGGAAAGGGCGTGGTCCAGTCAGAAGCAGCAAGTTAATGCAGGGCAGTGGGTTTTCAAGTTAGGAGAGAAAAGTCGGGGGAAGGGCAAGGAGGTCACAGAGGCAGGGTGGGGGGAGAAAAGACATAGTGAGTGAGGATTTGATGCCCACCAACAGACAGTGAGTATTGATACCCACAATAGAGCTCACAAAGTAGAGGGGCATTCTGGGGGCTCTGAGGGGCCCCACTGAATCTAGAGTACAAATTTGTGGTAGCAATTTATTCACTGAGGCTTGGTAAGCCCCAGAAGGCAGTCAGGTTGTGCTGGGGTTGGATTTCAGCAGATAGACTGTCGTGGTTCTGGGAGGCTGAGGGTGTCAGTCAGCCTGTGAGGAATGGCTGAGGTGTGGAAGGAAGCGAGCCTAGGTGGTGTAGTAGTCGGCTTTCCCTTACTGCGACATAACACCTAAAAATGTCGACATAACACGGAAGGTTTATCTCAGCTCACAGCTTCAGAGGGTTCATCTGTGGTTGGCCTTGTTGCTGTGGGTTAGGGTCAGGACAGAGCATCTTGGCAGGAGGTGCATACATACGTCACAGTGGGAAGCAAAGGCAGACAGGAGGAGCTGGGGTCCCAACATCTCCTCTAAGGGAATGTCCCCCATGACCTAACCTCCTAAACATCCCACGACTTCCCAAGAGCATCACAGGCTGGCCTTTGGGGGGACACGAGATCCAAACACTAGCAGGAGGTGGGGAAGGGTGACCTTGGAAAAGGGCAGATGTTATGGGAGCACCTCGACCAGTGTGAAAGGATGTCCTCAAACATCCCAGCAGGAGAGTCATCCCAGGGGTGACAAGGACAAGCTCGGCTGTGGCACTGGGGCACGTTGGGGGAGGAGGGGAAGGGCAGTGGAGGCAGTGGGGGATAAAGACCTAAGGAACTGCAGAGGTCGGGTAGGTTGCCTGCCAGACCCACCATCAGGGGAGACCCTGCCAGACCTAAGAGAGAGTTGCTGAGCCAAGGGCCAAGGGCCATGTCTAGCATGCATCCCAGGACACATGGGAGGTGGAGACAGGCACCTGCCACACCTGCATGAAAGGGGTTAGTCCTCATGGAACAACTCAAATGCAGATTCACTCAAAAACTAAAAAGCAAGTCAGTACTCCTGGAGCCTGGCCATGGGTCTGCCAGGCTGGGCTACCAGAACCTTGGTGATAACTCTATGGTCACTGCTCCAGCTCAGTGGTTTCCAGGAGAGTGTAGTGTGACCTGGACATACTAGCAGGATCCAGTCTGGACCCTATGGACTTATACAATGCTTTCGCATTCATTGCCAATGTGAAATCCCACATCACTGCAGATTTCCAGCTTGCCTGAGCAGCTGATGGTGTGTTTTTCCGGTCAGCAGATGGTCTAGCCTCTGGCCACTGCTGTTGGCATTGAGAACTCTGCAGTGAACAAGAGAGGGCCATTCCCAGTGCCCTCGAGGATGGTCCCCTGAGGCTCCCTGGGGCACAGAGACCTTGGTGGTGAGTAGCAGTATACTGCCAACAACATGGCCTCCCACAGACGTCACAAGTGCCTGGCAGCTCCAGAAGACTGAGTTTGCCACCTCTGATGTAGTTCAGTACTTCAGTTTACAGTCTAGGAAGCTAGACCAGTATGCCCTGCCTGAGTGTGGTCCCACCTTTAAGAAGAGTGAGCTGGTGTGTGAACTTTGAAAACACAGCTCACAGCCTGCAGGTCGGGGGTGGGGGGGTTGGGGAAGTATGGAGGGGTGGGGGGGAGCATTGGAAGAGCAGCAGACACCTGATTTATGGAGGCAGGGCATATGAAGAAGCCTGGAGCTCAGCTCTGCAGTGGATGGGACAGGAGCGGGGAGCAGCTGGCCGAGCCACACAGAAAGGCTGCTGTATTCCTTCTGTCCAGCTGCAGGGGAGAGTCTGGCCTTGGTTCAGAACCAGTGCTGGAGAAGGAAGAAATATTTTCCGTTTCCACAGGTTTGGGGATAGGCTCTGCTGGCATGTTTCACACTTAGGGCTGGGCCCAGCCACACTGGAGTGCCAACACTGGCATGGACAGTGAATTAGCCAGGGGTCCCCCATATCTCCCAGGAACTCCTATTTTCTCTTTCAGAGGGGCCAAGGCCAGAGGTGAACTTCTTCCCCAGGGCACTGCCAGCTCCTGGGCTTATCTTGTTTTCGCTGCTCTGAACAGGGAAGGAGACAGGCTCCCGTCACATAGACCATCCCTCACCCTATGCATCATGGTACTGAGCATGGCTAAGCCCCTCCAAATCCCAGCCCTGGGGAGCTCCTACATGTTGCAATGGCCAAGGCAGCTTCTTGTTCTCTGTGGATGAGTCATGAGTTTGATGAGAAGCAGATAGGAAGGCTTCTCATCTCCACCCCCACCCCACCCCCACGACAGCTCCCACAGGCCTGGGAACCAGACCAAGGCTATGGTGATCTCTTGGTTCCAACTGAGCTCATCTCTGGTCTCTGAACACCTTCAGGTCCTTCTTACTGTCTTCCTACTAGAGTTGTTGTCGGGGTTACAGACGGGGCTCTGGTTGTCATGGTTACAGACGGGCTCTGGTTGTCGGGGTCACAGACGGGGCTCTGGTTGTCGGGGTTACAGACGGGCTCTGGTTGTCATGGTTACAGACGGGGCTCTGGTTGTCGGGGTTACAGACGGGGCTCTGATTTCAGGGTTACAGACGGGCTCTGGTTGTCGGGGTTACAGACGGGGCTCTGGTTGTCGGGGTTACAGACGGGGCTCTGGTTGTCCGGGTTACAGACAGGGCTCTGGTTGTCGGGGTTACAGACAGGGCTCTGGTTGTCAGGGTTACAGACGGGGCTCTGGTTGTCAGGGTTACAGACGGGGCTCTGGTTGTCGGGGTTACAGACGGGGCTCTGGCTGTAGGGGTTACAGACAGGGCTCTGGTTGTCGGGGTTACAGACAGGGCTCTGGTTGTCGGGGTTACAGACAGGGCTCTGACCTTAATGAGGAGAGCTCAGAATCCTCAATAAGCCAGTTTAACGACAGTGCAAGTAGCAAAGGGAGATGGACCCGGAAGGACCACAGTCAGAGGAGGAATGGAGAGGCCAGTGACTTTCCAAGGGCAAGGGGCAGGAAAACTGAGCAGTCCCGGTCAAGGTGGGGTCCTGCCCACTACTGCCCACCGCTGTCGGCTCCAGTCTCTCCGTCAAGTCTGAGAAGCTGTCAGAACTGTGTGAGGTCTCCTCCTGGGAGATGAATTCTCCTCTCAGTGGTGCCAAGCTGCAGCCTTTTCCTTTTTTTCTTGCATGAATTCATCAAGGGATAAAGGCCACTGGGTAGGTCGGAGCCCTCGGATCCAGTCACCTCCCTGAAGCCCATCAGATGGTACATGCAAATGTCTCAAATTCAAACCATAGCACCCACCATCTTGTGTGGTTTTGGCCAGTGCTGGTGGGTGGGTGGGAGGCAGCAGCCGTTCTGTGACAGGCTTCTGTGGCAGTCATTCCTGCTGCTCTGGCAGTTCTCACCTGCATGTGAGCAATGGAAGGTGAACCTTGTGCCACGGAAGGTTCAAGGTCACAGATCCCCCCCAACATCCCCCCACTCCGTGTTTTTCTGCTACAGCCAACTTGGAAACCTTGTGTTAAGATGTGTCATAAAGAGCTGGCCAGGTGGTGGTGGCGCACACCTTTAATCCCCGCACTTGGGAGGCAGAGGCAAGTGGATCTTTGAGTTCGAGGCCAGCCTGGTCTACACAGCAAGTTCTAGGACAGCCAGGGCTCCTCAGAAGAACCCTGTCTCAAGAACCAAAAACAAAGCAATACTAGTACCTGTCCGTGTTCAGAGTTCCTCGGGTTGGTTGAAGAAAGAGAGGCACTGCGGACTGGACGCAATCAGCCAAAGCAGCAGGGTGGATCGGCCTCTGATGGACTGAACTCTGAACAGCTTTGCAGCAGCCCCTTCATAGTTACACAAAAGGCACTGGTAGCAGTCAGTTTCCCGATACCAAAACCTCTTTCTTATCTGATTTAGGAGTTGCCTGAAGGCACCATTACCTAAGCAATTCTCAGCTGTACAAGACTTCCTGGTTTGCCAGGTAAGTCCTGAGACCTGTCCATAGGCTGTTCTGATCTTGCCTAAGCAGCGGGTTCACTTACTTAATGCTCTGCCCCAGTGGGAATGCTATTTATTTGCCAGATCTTCGTGGCCACGTTGGCCTAACTGTGAGCTTCAATGTCAAGAAGCCTGTAGGCTGAGGACCTGTCCGCCGTTCTCCACAGCAGCCCTCATGGTAACGAAGATACCACTGCGGCGCTCTGCCTGCCTCCTGCACTCAGAACTCTTGAGGGAAAACAGCGCCATCCATACACCCCAGTGCCCATTATCTTGCTGTTCTGCTTTGAATGTGAAACCTCAGATTTCATACGCTGAAAACCTGGTCCTTGGATGTCTTTGGAAGGGGACTGCCTCATGGAGGACAGAGCTATGAGTTGATCGGCTCACAGGTAAACATGTAACTGGGTTGCCCTACAAAAGGCTTGGTTACCACTTTGAACACTCTGAATACAGTCTGTATCTCACCAGGCGACACTCTATCATGTCACAACACTGTGGCCCTCACTAGAGCCCAGCTCTTAGACATCCCAGTCTCCAGGACTGAATGAAATAAGTATCTTGGACCAGTGGAGTTGCCCACCAAACTGATGACTTGGGTTTGATCCCAAGAACCCACATAGTGGAAAGAGAGAACTGACTCCTGCAAGTTGTCCACTCACCTCTACTCATGTGCTGTGGCCCCTAAGTGCCCATGCACACGTGTATCTATAAAAGAAATAGTATCTTTTAACATTTATATATGTTGCTATAAATTTCCCAGTCTTGAGTGCTTGTCTATAGCCACAGGAAAGGCTGAGGAGTTGGCAAGGTAAGAAGTGGCTGTGGCTTGCTCCTTCGTCTCTGATCTTTCAGCATTTACCCCTATATCTGACTCTGGGTTTTTATTATTAAGACCAATTAGAATTCGCCCTACAACACAGCACTGTTTATTCCAGGTCAGACAGTTCTCTGTAGTGGGGACCACCCAGGGTGTTAGAGGGTGAATATGCATCCTGGGCCTCTGTGTACATAGCACAACTAGGAGCAACTCACCCTACAAAATACAACAACAAAAATGTCTCCAATACGACAAGTTGTCTCATAGGTGATGAAGTCTCCTCTCCCCAACCCAGCTGATCCAATCCTGCTCCCTAGTAGGTTTTCTGCACCACAATAATAGGTTTATCCACCTATGCAGTAAACCTGATCGAGTCAAATTAAAAAATCAAAGGCCAGGTTTATTCTGGGCAAAGCCGCTCCTGGGTCACCCTCCAGACCCCAGAGATCCAGGCTGGGGAAGAGGGCAGGAGAAGAATCACATGGCAGATCCAAGGCAGGGCACTTAAATACCCTGTAGGTGTTGGGGGAGGGCAGGGAGTGATGGCGTGTCCTCCAGAAGCTGGGTTTGTGTCCAATTATGGTACACTTTTAGGTGGGATCTTGAGCAGCTAGCAGCTTCAGAGAAGGAGCCGTCACAATCGCCAGGAATGTGGAACTGGACTTTTTGGTGGTTTTTCTGAGAGGAAAGTGTTTGGAGAGGGAGAGAGAGAAATGGGGCTGAGCTGGAGATTCCAGCCAAACATCCCGACCTTCTTGGTTAGATTGGCGCTGGATCAAAACTAGTTATTTCCTGCTGGCATGGGACAATGTGGGGAGGGGAAGTCGGGAGTCAGTGTGCTCACATTCAGTCAGAGAGGTATGGGTGAAGAAGCATTCAGTTCACTGCCATCCTGGAGACCTCAGGAATCTGTTCTGGGAGGAAGCAGAGAAGGCAAGTTGCCAGGAGAAAAAAAATAGATTTTTAACACCGGCCCTATGAACGGGCTAGCCATGGGAGGAGGGAAGACTGCCAGTAAGAACGGACAGAGATGTGCCCTGGTTGTATTGGTGAAGTTCTTCAGACAATATGTGGAGTGACTCCGCCTTGATACAGTAGCAGCACTCTTCCCCCAGGAACATGCAAATGTCTGTAAAACAGCGGAACAGATCTACACCTTAGTGTCATAGCAAAGGCTATGGCTTTGGGGTAAAAGGCATGAACATTTTTCCTGTGTCTAGAAAGCCTGGTTTTAGCCCAATGAAACATACCTTTTTAGGTCTATACTTAGAAGACAACCAGAGGAAATTTAAAATCTTGAGCTTGTGACTGAATAGTAAACAGTCAGGACTCTATCAGTTTATCAGAACTCCATTTATCAATGATAAAACTCTGACCCTCCAAAATTCCAGTGTAATAATAGCATAGAAAGAGGACAGAAATCCAAACCATCTTTACATACCTTAAACCATTTACTTATACCTTTACAACTTGCATTTATATATCTTAAATAATTTTTTGTGTTCCTTTCGTGGAAAGTTACAACCTGTTTATCCTTCACTATGAAGCCTGTGAACCAGGCAAACCTGTCTGTATTTTTAATAAGAAACTTAATTAATGAACTACTGAAGTGGTTATAGCCTTGGGGGGTCAGGGAGAGCTGTTAAACTGGTAAATCTGTCAGTACCCTAGTCATCAAACACCATCAGATCTGAGAAGGATGAATTTCACCTGAGTAAGCAGGAGTGAAGCAGCCTCCCAATCTATTAAAATGACAGGGGCTTACTGGCTACCTAGACAGCTACCCCCAGGTTTCTCTGTGGTCACTGGGACAGGCGTCCCAGGGTGTATCAGTCTTTAGCTATCAGGTCCAGATCTGACAGACTTTCCTATGGAGTAAGAATTTAGGAAGACCAGCCTACCTTGTCTAGGCAAAGTGAGGCAATCAGTTCCCTGGTGTCCTTCTCGTCCACAGTCCGGACAGGGTCTTGGCAGCAACTGAGTGAAGGCAGTCTTTTCCACTCCATGACTGGATTTTCTGCATTTAAAGTAAACTCCAGGGGGAAGTTCTTCTGCACCCATCCGTCTTCTTTGGAGGAGATAGGGGTGGAGGTGCTGGCATGCCTCTATCATGAAAAGCTTTTTTTACTAAACATTCTAAATGCCATATCCGTAGATCTCTGAAGTGTTTGAGGATTATTATCTGTTAAGTATATCTAAACTAGACAAATGTTGTTTATTTTTAGTTACTTGTTTTAGGCTTAACTTTGAGAACATATATATAAACCTTGTTTTCAGGACAAGACAGGAATTATCATACAAAAATCCATCCTAATCCAAAATATCTTGGAGACCTGTTGTCTCCTTGGTAGGCCCACTCCATGTGGTCACCTTTAATCAAGATGGCAGTGAAGTCACATGACCTCCCTCTTCTCCAACCTTAGTCAAAATGGTGACTGCCCACATGGCTGTACTTAATTAAGATGGTGGCAGGCCAGTCATGTATTGTTTCCCAGAGCAGTTCCAATGCAGAGTTTACACATTTTAAGTTAACCTTTTGTTACCGATTTTTAACCATACCCAACTCCCTTAGATGTTTTTTCTAATAAGGTAGAACAGTGTAGAGTAACTTTAATATTATTTATACCCAAATGACAGATGAATCTCTGTCATTGCATCAGATTTAGTGGCCAGAAAGTCCAGAGGCAAATTCTGAGCTCAGGCAGCTACTTGCAATAGTAACAGCTGAGCTATTACCAAGACACACGAAAAATAGTAAAACATGCATCCAAGACCAGTCAGAAACAAGCATGCAGTGACTGCATACATTTATACACCCAACTGAGCGTGAGGTAATTCTGTGTGGCTCCCATCTCCACAAGAAAACATCCAGGCACAGATCCATCCATCCAGACAAAATAGACAAAACTTCTCTAACAGTGAGACAAACAAAACTTCCTGTGGGAAACAGACTTTGTTACAAATTATATAGATTTTAAACCATGACAGAAGGGCAACTTACAAATCTTGAAATAAAAGTTCACAGTATAATCTTAAAATATAGGGGTAGCCGGGCGGTGGTGGCGCACGCCTTTAATCCCAGCACTCGGGAGGCAGAGGCAGGCAGATTTCTTTGAGTTTGAGGCCAGCCTGGGCTACAGAGTGAGTTCCAGGACAGGCTCCAAAGCTACAGAGAGAACTCTGTCTTGAAAAACAAAACGAGAGAGAGAGAGAGAGAGAGAGAGAGAGAGAGAGAGAGAGAGAGAGAGAGAGAAGGATACCTTCTATCTGTAACTAATACTGTTCTTCAGGTCCTAGACAATGGAATCAGACATGAGAAAAAGCGCTGGAGAGATGGTTCAGCCATTAAAGGCAAGAAAAAAAAGATATAGGGACAGCATACAAAGAAGTCATAGGAATAAAAGATTTTTAGGAGTGAGGAAGTCAAGCCTTAGAGGTAAGGGGCTTTGGAAATGTAGCAGAGCAAGTTTAGGTATAAGGTATTTGGGGATCCCTTGTTTGCAGCAGTAGCAGTTAACAAGTGATTTGTGAGAATTTGGAAATCAAGCTCGCCAGGTTTGGCCATTGATTTGTACTGAGGCCAAGCTGGTAAAATAAAATCTGAGTCCGTGGAGGAAGAGAGAGAGGGTCGCAAAGTGGAAGACTGTGTGAGTGTGTTCCTCTAAGTTTCAAGAAGTTGAGAGTGAAAATGGGCGGCAGGACTGCAGGCAGGAACCGAGAGACCGTGTAGTATGTCTGCAGTCTGGCTGCAAGGTGAGAGAAAGTCAGGTAGAGCGGAAGATAAGGGGCCCACGTGGGGCTGCAGGCCGCAAGAGCCAGAGCCACATGGAGGATACAGTGGGCTGGAGTTTAAGCTGTGGGTCTCCCAGGTTGCTGGGAGAGGGGAGCGAGCCAGAGAGATGTCCATGTGGGTACAGTAGGCTGCAGGAGCCAGATAAGCACACATATGTCCATGTGGAAAGTAACATAGGAAGAATCGGACTCTAAAATTTGGAATTAGATTCAGTCACAGACAAATGATCCGTACATACCTTATTGAGGGTCAGATCAGCAGATCCTGTAAGGGAGAACAGGGGTGCGCTGGGCACAAAGCAGCCTCTCCGACTCTGACTCCCATGTTGTAACAAATGTAAGGACGGGACATTCTTGCAGTTTAGGGTGCAGACACAAACAGACAAAGAGAACGGATCTGTTGCAGGTGGAAATACCAGCATGGCCAGACCAAATGCCAGGAGAGCTTAGTGAGTAAGGCGGCCAAGTGGGTACCTTTTGGAGGGCCCTGCCAAGGTGTGCCACTAAGAGAACACACCGGAACAACAGAGTGTAAGAGGTGGATTGGGGGATGGGGAGAGTGAAGGATCAAAAGGCCATCTCGGAGTAGAGACAGGAGAGGCAAGTTGACAGACAGCAGAGAGCAGGGAAGAGGGATGGGCAGGAGGGCAGAGCTAAAAATCCTGGATAAGGGAGCACAAACCATTTGTCATATGGTGTGAGACAGCCCCCATTTGGATAAATTTCATAGTAGATACCCCAGGGGTGCCTGAGGATTGGGTTTAGACCCAGGGTTGCTCATTTCCAAGCCTGTGTGGGAGACGGAAGACTATATAGCCTGGGGTTGAGGAGTGGACATGGGGTTGCCTTTGGGTAGAACGTCTCCTCCACAAAGGACCCATGGAACAAATACAGTCTTTGCTCTGGAAATGGATCGGGCTTGCCCTGGCGTGGCCACGGCTTGGCAGGAGATTCCAGGGGGCTTGACCCAGAAGGGGTCTTGAGCTGGAAGAGGTTCTGGACCTCTGTAGGTGGTGACTTGGAAATGGGTGACTTACCCCAAAAATCGATTCTGTCTGGCAGAGAGGGAGCTAAAAGAGGAGCAGCCTCACAAGTGGCCCAGACTGGTCCACCCAGCAGGGAAAGCTCAACTCCTCCTGGACTTCCGGCACCAAGAAAATAGGTTTTCTGTACCCCAATAATAAGTTTCTCTACCAACACAGTAAGCCAAATCAAGCAGAATTAAAAAGTAAAAGACGAGGCCGGGCAGTGGTGGCTCATGCCTTTAATCCCAGCACTCAGGAGGCAGAGCCAGGTGGATCTCTGTGAGTTCGAGGCCAGCCTGGTCTACAGAGTGAGATCCAGGACAGGCACCAAAACTACATGGAGAAACTCTATCTCGAAAAACAAACAAACAAAAAGTAAAAGACCAGGTTTATTCTGGGCAAAGCAGCTCCTGGTGACCCTCCAGTCCCCAGAGATCGAGGTGTGGGGGATAGGGCAAGAGAAAAATCACATGGACAATCTAAGTCAGAGTGCTTAAATACCCTGTAGATGCAGGGTGATGACGTGTCCTCCACAAGCTGGGTTTGTGCCCAAGTGTGGTACACTTTTAGGCGGAGTCTTGGGCAGCTAGCAGCCTCAGGGGAGGAGCCACCACAACCCCTGGGAATGTGGAACTGGACCTTTTGGTAGTTTTTCTGAGAGGACAGGGTTTGGAGAGAGAGAAATGGGGCTGAGCTGGTGATCCAGCTAAACATTCCCCAAAGGCAGACTCCAGAACAGAGTGGTTGGTCGTGAAGATGAGACTTCAGACCTGAGCACTGAAGTGAAAAACAGAGGCTGGGGCAGCTGTGATGGGATGGTGAGGGATCAGGTAGCCATGCACATCTCTCAGACCTGCCTCCTGCCGGGTGGGCCCCACCTCTTAAGGCCAGTGCTTTCTCCTTCCTTATCCCACCGCCAGTCTCAAGATGGAAGAAGCTAAGCCTGAGAGGGCTAAAGTGTCAACATCTGCAGAAAGACCGACAGACGGGGATCTTCGTGATCTGATCTGCACAAGGCCACGAAAGGGACCTATAGCATCAAAGACTATCTTTATTTAGCATTTTGAGGGTCTATTTATCTGTGTGGAGGTTGCTATGTCAACTTCAAGTTTTATTTTCAATTTTCTAAGTGTGTTTGATATGTGTATGTGTCTTTATGTGCATGTGGGTGAGCACATGCCAAAAGCATATGTGTGGAGGTCGAAGGACAACCTTAGGTCTGTCCTCACCTTTCCTCCTGTTTGAGACAGGGTCTTGCAGCCCTACGGAAGCTGGGCTATCTGGCCAGAGCTTTGTGAGGTTCACCTATCCCCATTTCCTCTCTTGCTGTCCGAGAGCTGGTAGCATGCATCCTGTGGGCTTTTATGTGGGTTCTGGGGATCCGAACTCATGGAGTTCTGCACAATGAGCCATCCCTCCAGTGCAATGTCAAGTTTTTAAAGCAAAATATTGTGTTACATTGCTATTTATCTCGATCACTGGTGCCCCTCCCAAAGTTTGTGTCCCAGACAAGTGACTGTCCGCATGATCCAACTCCAGCGTGAGAGGAACGCTGAGGAGGGACTCCCCTGCCTCTCCAGGAGAGCAACCACGGCAGAGAAGCTTGCACGGTCTTCCCTCTGATTCGACACTAGCACTTGGGGGTAGGGGGGCGGGCAAGAGACCCTTACCTGAACACAAAGCAGTGAGTGATGAGCCACCCTGTACGTCTCTCAGACCTGCCTCCTGCCCGGTGCCATAAGCTTTTTCCCTCTGAGCCTGTTCGGCCTGTGCCCTGTTGCTACCCAGCCCGGGGGTTTCAGGGAGAGAGCGATCCTGAAATAAAATGGCGTTTCATTTTATTCCTTATTATTGCAGTCAATGGGGTGTCTGCACACCAGCACACACGTGCGCAGGCTTGAGTGGATGTCAAAGAACGACTTCCAGGGGTCAGTTCTCTCCCTCCACCATGGGCTCTGGGGACTGAATTTGGGCTGTCAGGGTCGGCAGCAAGCGCCTTTACCCACAGAGCCGTTTGCTGGAGCAACATTTTTAAATGTTTTAATTGAAACCGACCTCAACTTGGACACAAGCCTGGCTAACGACGGCTTTTTCTGACGGCTTCTTGGGTGCACAGGGTCACATCTCATTCAGCCTGAGGGGCCACACGGCAGGGGTCAGTTTCTGTTTCAGCGCTGAGAGGACATGGGCGCCCTCTGCTGGCAAGGAAGGCAGGTTGCTCTGCACACATTTTCAAGGAAGCCTTCCAAAGGCCACCAAGGATCTGCTCCCAAGTAAGCGTGAGGGTGGGAATCTTGAAGCCTGGTACTGACAGAGTGAGGAAGGGGCATCAATTAAAGGCTATCCTGGGCAACATAATAAGGCTGTATTTAAAAACAAATAAAAGAAACCAACCCACAAGGGCTGGAGAGATGTCTCAGTGGTTAATAACACTTGTTAATTCTTCCAGAGGACCAGGTTTGATTCCCACCACTCACATGGTACCTCACAACCATCTGTAGCTCCAGTTCCAGGGAGTCTATCTCCATCTTCTGACCTCTGCAGGCATCAGGCACCCACATGGCATACAGACATGCATGTAAGCAAATACTATTATACAAATAAAAATAAATAAAATCTTTAAAAAAAAACAAACTAGAAACAGGTCCAACGTCAAACAAAGAGGCAACTACTCTCTTTGAATCATCATCATCATCATCATCATATCTCTTTAAAATACTTTAAAGGCTAAAGAAATGGCTCATTGGGTAAAGTGATTGCCATGTAGGCAAACGGACTTGAGTTCAGACCCCCAACACCCGCCCAAATAGCCGGGCACAGAGACAGCTAGATGCCTGCTACCCAACCTAATCAGCAAGCTCCAGGTTCAGTGAGAGACCTCATATTAAAAACCCAGGTGGAGGCAGAGGCATTCACAGTGGGGAGACAGCATTCCAGGCGGCGGGACAGGAAGCAGACATCCATCAGATTGCTGCCTCTGCCGGTTTGCCTGGAGCTCTTCTTTCGGCAAGGGTTAGTGATGACTGTAGACTCCAACTAGTCCATGTACTCATGACAAATGACTGTTGAATGTCCAGCCATAAATGGGGCTCTATATCACCCCCCCCCCCCAATGCTTAGAGAACATCACCAGAAAGGCTGAAAGAACACAAGACTGGGAATAAGAGGGGAGAGCAGGTGTGGGGTGCTGACTTCCGGGCATGACTTTGCCTTTGCACTCGTGAATTCACAGCAGCTGTGACAAGCTGCACAAGATCTGCCCATAACTGGGCCCATCAACACCTTGTCATGGAAGAAGGGAGGGGCCCGAGGCCCCATTCTTCTTTGAGGAGCTACTGGTAGTTAATGGTTGGTCGGGGAGGGAGAGACATTTTCTCCAGTAGTGTTGAGAAGGTACCTGCGTTCCTGTAGACAGACCCTCGCCCATGCTCTTGTAAGCAAAGCAACACACACACACACACACACACACACACACACACACACACACACACACACACACCATGAAAGGAGAATGGGGTCTAGCTGGAATGAGGAAGGAGATTATCAGATTATCAGGAGGGGGTAGAAAATGAGACGGTAACAGAGATGACTATGCTCAGCATTCATGGTCTACACTATGAAAATGTCACAAACAGGCTGGAGAGATGACTCTGTGGTTAAAAGGACTGGCTGTTCTTCCAGAGGACCCGGGTTTGATTCCCAGCTCCCAAATGGTATCTTGTAACCATCTGTAACTTCAATTCCAGGGAATGACACTCTCTTCTGGCCTCTACAGGCATCAGGCATGCAAGAGGTACATAGACAAACATGTGGGCAAAAGGAAACAGATACATAAAATAGTTTTAAAAGAAAAACCTTTTCACAATGAAGCCCACTATGTGTAACTAGCATAGGCCAAAAACATTTTTAAAAGGGGGGAGCAGAACTACTAAGAAGAACACTTGCCTCATACATGCACACCCTGACATCAACTTCTGCTTCCTCACACATGTGCACACACAAGCAGGTGCACATAAATGTTTTTAGTGGGGTCCACAATAATTCAAAAACATTAGCCACCTACCCTGCTTCTTCTGTTGCATGACCTTGTCCCATAGTCTCTGCAGTTAGAAGAGCAGTTGGTTAAAAAATAAGACCAGACCCAAGCTGCATCGGGAGCTGTGTTAAGATCACCACAGACTTGTGTAAACATGCTTTTACGAACCCCGTTAAGTTTGTACAAGCACCTTGTTATCACAAACTGTACTACTAGTTGTAAACTGTTATCACGAGTTGTAAATTCCTGGAATGTACCATCACCCAAGACCTGACCTCAAATTGAAAAATTCTTTCTTAGACCACCTACTTGCTTTAACAAGGACCTACTCCCTCTGTTCCGGGTCACGGTGTCAGAACCCGACCTGCCGGTGGTTCTAACTAGTCAGAAGTTCTGGTACCCTTCGGTGATGGAATGAAGTGGCCTCAGGTCATCTAACTTTGGTGCAACTACCAGACCCAACAGTTTCTACGATGGCAAGTCTTAATGGCAGATGTGTGAACAGGGACAGCTTTTCTCAGAAGGCCACTGGCAGTGACCCCTCAGAATTTAAATAGCTGCCAAATCTCATCCCCCCCACTGGTCCTAAGGAACCCACCTAACTCCATTTTGAAGGCAGGAGCCATTATGCTGTACTGATTAAAATGTTTCCATTTACTGTAAGAGCTGAGTTGCAGTTTTTAAGTCTTTTCCAGAGCCTGACCTGCCCCAATCCATGACCTTGACTTGTTTTTGAGAATACACTTACCCTCTCTAATCATGTGGGGACCACATGGCGGGTTTTTTGTTTGAGATTTTTCTGTATTTCTCTATTGCCCCATTGCCTCTCTTTTGTAACTCTGCTTTGCAACTACTTGTGATTTTACTCCTTAAAAGGGGCCCAAGAAATAGATTTGGGACTGCTCTCTTTAACCAACTTCGGAGGCAATCTCTGGCCAGCTCTTGGGTGCACTCTAATGAAATCAAGCTTGCCACAAGTCCGGTTCAAGATTGTAGCGGTCTTATTCTTGCCCTGTGGGATTAACAGTCCCTTTTATAGTGAGTCACACAACAAATGCAGTTATGAGAAAGCATACTGTAAACTGCTAGCTTCAGGTGACTCTGGGTTGTTCAGAGTCAGCTGACTCCCAGATGAGCTGGCTCCAAAGTGAACAGGACACAAAGGCCAGCACTTGAAGATTGTTCTTAAAACAAGATCCAGAATGAAAGACTAGAAAGGGTTTTCAAGAAACAAGTCCAGAAGCAGGAGAAGTAAAACTTGAAACTGAAGTGGAGATAGTTACTTGGCCATCAAAACATTTATTATATAAAAAACAAAAACAACATTTATTATTAGATAGGTCTTGTGGTGCATACCTGTGATCCTAGCACTTAGGGGGAGGCAGGAGGATCAGGAGTTCAAAGCCACCTTTGAACTTAATGAATCTGAGCCCACCTGTCTCAAAACAGAAACAAAAATAAGAATAATTTTGGTTTGGTAGTTCTGAAATAGTCCTAAACAGCTCTGCCACTTTGTATGAAACATTTACACAAAGCAGGGTTCTCAGCATTGAGCATTATGAAATCAAAATGCCAATCCACTCTGGAAGACAGATGATCTCTATTTTCTGCAGCATCAAATGCTCAGTCAAGATCGCTTTATATAAAAGTAAACAAGGACACTCACCTCATTAGTATGCAAATGATACTCACTTTTAATAAATTATACAAATGCTGTGCAACAAAGGTTTTTAGATAAATTTCCTGATAACTTATCATCAGTAAATATAGAGATATGTACCTACTTATATACTCAGGGTCCTGTAAAAATTCTACAGGGTCTCGGGGTAGGGGGAAACATATAAACTCTGCTCTATGATACAAGATCTGCCCTCTGGATGCACAGTCCCTCCACAGGGCAGCCTTTAACCAGAGCTTATTGTTTTTATATTATTATTATTATTATTATTATTATTATTATTATTATTATTATTATTATTATATTTTAAGACAAGGTAGCCCAGGCTGGAACTACACAGTCCAGGCTAACTTAATAAATACCCAAATGTTTACGTCTCCAAAGTGCTAGGATTACAGATATAAGCAACCACACGCAAGTTACTTGGACTTCTGAGAGGATCCCCACCCCCACCCCACCCCCACCCCACCCCACCCCCCCAAGAAGACATTTAGTTAGCATGTCTGGGGGAAAGAGGGAGGTGTTTGCTATCTAGTGGCAGGCAGCTGGACATTCTACAGCACACAGGACTACTCCCCACAAGGAACTGTGGCCCCAAATACCAAGCTGAAATGGAGAAGCTACTTTAGACCCACTTTCAGATTCTGGTATGTGCTGACTGGAGACCGAGCTTTGTTTCCAGACAGACACTCTCCAGGTGCCTCTAACCACTGCTGTCAGGCTACAGTAGGGCTGAAGGACCAGGTACTGGGCAGGCCAGGAAGGGGGCAGCTGGGAAGTAGGCAGGAAAACAAAACAAGCAAGCCCCTCCCAACTCACATTTATGGCTCCCCAATCCTTCTCAACCTGGATTAGCAAATGCCTGATGATTCCTGCAGTGAAGTGTTCCATCTCCTTAGGCAACAGCTCAATTTGCTCTTTGTTTTCTTGAGACAGGGTTTCTCTGGGTAACAGTCCTGGCTATCCTGGAACTGGCTGTGTAGACCAGGCTGGCCTCCAACTCACTGAGATCCACCTGCCTCCTAAGTGCTGGGATTAAATCAATTTGCTCTTAACAGCAGTTCAAGAGGGCCAGGAAGGTGGCTAAGTGGACCAGGGAGCTTGCTGCCAAGTCTGAATCCTGACAACCTGAGTTCGAGCTCCAGAACTCCCGTGGTGGAAGTTCAGAAGGACTCCCATAAGCCATTCTGACTTCCACATGCATGCATGCATAAGCACACACACACACACTCACATGCATGCACAGCAGTTCAAGAAAGCAGGAGGTAAGGGGATCACAGGAGGCAAGGTCTCTGGGCCTGTCTCTTCGGGGCACACAGGCTCCTCCATGAGAACTCACTGGAAAGCCTGGCTGATATCTGGGCATCTCACAAATGTCCCCTTCCTTCCTTCCTTCCTTCCTTCCTTCCTTCCTTCCTTCCTTCCTTCCTTCCTTCCTTCCTTCCTTCCAAGTGCCATGTGTGATGCCTGTCTTGTCACTTCCACCTGCCTGACAATGTGGTTAGAAAGAGACATGCCACACCAAACCCCCTTTTAAAGTAATTTGTCTATTTAAATGT